TCTGCAAACAGATTTTGAGCAGTCACTGCCATCTATAGTCTTTTGCAAACCAGGATACTCAGAATTTAAACTCTAATCCAAAACACAGGTCTACTCTGTAATGTCAGGTGGTCGTAAGTGCGAATCCACTTAAAGGCAACTTTTTTTTTTGTTTTAGGTCAAGGCCTTGATACCTTTGTTTTTTTCACGTTCTTTTAAAATCACTGACCTTGCAGGGTTGTTTTTATATTCTGTTTTTCCAAATGGAAACTCATTGTCCTCATCTAAAAATGAGGTTGCCGGCACCCTTTCTTTCTACTTGTGGATCTAAGTGAAATGAAATTCTTGGCAATCTCGGTCTTTTCTTCTTTCCTCAGAATGTTGTGGAAGAGGGATGCACACGAATAGTGTTACAATGAGACACGGAGGGGATGGCCGTGGGGTGTTGACGTAAAGTGTGGATGAGCTATCCCGTGTGATTGAAGTTGTCAAGGATTTTATTTTTATTTGGATGCATAATCAAAACCCGTGGAAGCAGCAGGCTAGAAATCAAACAACTTATTGTGTTGGGCAAATCTGCTGCAAAAGATCTCTTGATGGTGTCCCCAAGCAAGGATGTTACCATGAGCACTAACATGGGCCCGACTCAAGGCATGGTATTTTCAGTGGTCTCATAAGCATATGAAAGCTGGACAGTGCATAGGAAACAATGCAGAAGAATTAGTCTCTTTGAATTATGCAGTTGGTGAAGAATATTAAATATAACATGGACTGCCAGAAGAACAACCCTATCAGTGTTGTAAGGAGTATAGCCAGAATGTTCTACAAGTAAGAATGGCAAGATTTCATCTCACATAATTGTTGTCATGGCATCGGGAAGGAGTTGTCCCTGGAACAGGACATCACGCTTGGGAAAGCAGATGATCATTGAAAAAGAGGAAGGTCATCATTGAAACAGACTGATCCAGTGGGCACAGCAGTGGATTCAACCACAGAAATGATTGTGGAGATGGTGCAGGACTGGGAAATGTTTTGTTCTGTTGTACCTGCGGTCTCTGTCCGAGGTGATGTCCTCAGTGTACCATCCACTAGTCTGCTTCCTCCCTGTGTTTCCTGTTTCTGTTCCCGCTTCTTTCCTAACCTGCTGAACTTTGTCCTCGGGTAAATGATGAGCCTCTGATCTCACCAAACCAAGCTCACTGCCAGCAAGCCAATGCTGACTCATATCGACCTTAGAGGCCAGGGTAGAACTGCCCCTGTGAGTTTCCTAAACTTTAACTTTTCAAAGGAGTAGAAAGCCCCGTGTTTTTCCCCCTCAGAGTGGCTGGTGGTTTTCAACTGCCGACTTTGCAGATCACAGTCCAACACATAACCACTGTGCAGCCAGGGCTCCTTAGGTGGTTGATTATTCTAGAACGAATGGGGTTTCACTCCTGACCCAAAAGGACACAGAAGGCAATAATCTCAGAGGTCCCCCCTGTCTGTCTCTCTGACTAAGAAGACTGGTCTTTTTTATAATTCTGAGTTTTGTTCCACATTTTTATCCCAATTTAACCAAGGCCTCATAATCGGATCCTTTTTTCAGTGCACTTGGGGCTGGCTGCCTGCCACCAACCAGCTCTTCAGGCTCCAGGCTTGTAGAGGCTGGTGGTTGTGCAGTCCATCCGTCCATTGGACAAATAATTTCCTTATGTTATTCAATTTCCACCCCTCTTCTTAGCTCCAGGGGGGGAGAGGTAAATAATCGCCCCTTAAATGACTGTTCTTGAGCTTTCAAAACCCCAGTTACTACTCACCCAAGTGGATGCAGAATGCTGTCTCTGTGAACTGTGGTGTGCCAAGTGCTCTCTTGAGAACCCTCAAGGGTATGATTCTGATCCCTCAGCGCCAATGACTCCTTCCCTCAAGGACTTTGGTTATGTCTATTTTCCTCCAGCCACATTAATGGGACATTTACAGCAAAGATAAATACACATAATTATCCTCTGTGAAATATATATGGTGTGTGTGTGTGTGTGTGTGTGTGTGTGTGTGTGTAGGGATTACTTCTACCCTTACACAGCTGCTCAGTCTGTATGTCTGTCCAACAGTTCATCACTATTGCAGGACTGTATATACAAGTCACGTAGTTAGTTTATTGTGCCAACCTGGCTGATAAGCACATGTGGGATTAATCGAAGGGCGGAGAGATAAATGGCTCAGCAAGCCTTGCCTTTTTTGTCTCTTGCTCTTTGATCATTGGACCAGTGTCCGGCTGCCTTGCTTGTTCTGAGCCTCAGCTTGCAAGCTACACTACCTGTGGGACACCTAACCCGTGGACTGTGTCACTGTAATTTGAGGTTCCTTCAAGACGTGCTTCGCCACACCATTGGAATTTACATCTCTTGAGCTGGGGACTGTCGGACCCTGTCATCTGGCTGACTGTTGGTGACCTGCCTTGCTGTTTGCTTCCAGTGCCTGGATAGCCTGAATTGCTCTACAGAGGACTACCCAGCAGCCCTCAAGACTTGAAAGACTGTCAGTGTTTCACAGCTGTCTCACGAGAGTGAGTTGCACTGAGCCATTTGTACTACTTTAGAATAGAATTTAATTATTATGTTATAATATATTTTTATATTATATATAATATATAATTTCTTATGTTATAAATCTATCTATCTGTATAAATATATATAAAATTATTAGCATTCTGGTTTTGTTTCTCTAGAGAACCCTAGACAACCCTCATTGTCTAACAACAAGAGTATTTGCCTCCGTTGTCTTTCAAAGTTCCCAATGTCTTGCCCTATCTCTACCTTTTACTTGTTTGCCTACCTCTGTCTAATTGAATAATATGTTCTGCTTCATTCAAGTTAACACCTTACTACCTGTGACATACTTTCCCTCCCATCCCACAAAATCAAACTAAACTCACTGCCATCTAGTCAGTGCTGACACTTAGTGATGCCCTGGGGATTTCCAAGACTGGGATTTCTACCCCTGTCAACAGTCAACCGTCTGGGACTGGAACTGTTGACAGGGGTAGAAATCCCAGTCTTTCTACCATGGAGCAACTGGTGGTCTCAAACCGCTGGCCAAGTGGCTCACAGCCTAATGCATAGCCACTACACTACAGGGGCTACTGTCTCTAGTCATTGTTACTGTCTAATGTTTTGTAGCATTCCATTGTGCGTATGTACCAAACGTTTATTTACCCATTCTTCCACCAGGGGCCTTGAGGTTGCTCCCGTCTTTTTGCTATTGAGAAAAATGCTGAGATGAACATGGGTGTGCCTTAATCTCTTCATTCTGCAGCTCTTATTTCTTGAGACTATATACTAAGTAGCTGGAGCCCTTGGCTTAGTGGCAACCACTGGCCCCAAATCCTCAAGGTTGGCCATTTGAAACAACCAGCCACTCCAGGTGAGTCTTTCTACTCCAGTAAAGTTATAGCCTTGGAAACCCACAGGGCCAGCTCTACCCTGTCTTTTTGGTCACTGTGAGTTGGCATCGACTCAATGGCGATGAGCATTTTTGGAGAGGGATTGCTGGGTCATATGGTATTTCTATCGTCAACCATCCGAGTAAGTGCCGGATGACATTCCATAGTGGTTCTCCTGTTTTACAGCCCCACCAGCAGGGCATGAGGGCTCCAAAGCCTTTGGGCCCTCTCCAGCATTTGTTGTTTTGTTTTCCTATTGCTAGACTTTGTTATTGGTGCTCTGGTGAGGTGGTATGTCACTGTGGTTTTTGATTTGCATCTCTGAGATGGCTCATGATTGTGAACATATGTTTGTGGGCTGCCCGAATGTCTTCTTTGTTGAATTGTCTGTTCATGGTCTCTGTCCATTTTCTTTTCTTTTCTTTTTTTTAACTATTATTAACTTTTATTATTTTAAGCTTAATTTATTCCCCTCTGTCCATTTTCTAATTGGACTGCTTGCCATTTTCTTGTTGAGGTAC